TTTAAATATGTAACCACTCATGTTTAATAGCATTGTTATATAATATGCTGGACATTGTTTCAATACTAATTATTGGTTTTTTTCCCCTTAAGTGTAAGGTTATTTTTTATTCCTGCAGAACATCTGACCTAATCCTTTTCCTAACTTTATTCTTACCTAGCAAAAGAAGCACAAGCCAAAGCAGTAACAAAAATTACCCTTGAATCAGATACTAAAAGCTTTAAAGCAGCCAAAGATTGTCAGTTTAAAGCATCTGAAGTCAAGCAAGAATCTTCCAAGAAAACCTCGAGTTTGTTTATATCTACATCCCAAAGACCATATGAAGCTGAGAAGCAAATAAACAGAGTCTACTATCCTGATGTTGTCCCATGTGAAGACATCACAGAAACTGATGCCAAAGCACCAGAGTTTCTTGAAACTCTGCCTTCAGAAACCACTGTGAAAGAAGGAGATGATGTGTTACTCTTTTGTATAATGAAGGGTGTGCCTATGCCTTACGTCGTCTGGCTGTGCAATCTGCTAATAGTTGAGGAGTCTGCATGGTGTACTTTAAAACATGATGGGCCACTGTGCAGTTTAAGATTGTTGAAAGTTGGTCAGAACCACAAGGGTATATACAAGTGCAGAATAGTTAATTCTGCAGGACAAGCCGAGTGCAGCACCCATCTGAAAGTGACAGGTTGGCAACTGCATGCTCCTTCCAAGTATCAATTCCTCTTGCATAGCATCATTGCATTCCAGTACATTCATTCCCTGGGAGATGACAAAGAATGAGAAGCATCTCATTAGTCTGTGGATTGTTGAATGTTTTCTTCAGGGATTTAAGGCATGATAAAGGCATGATACATTAGAATCTTTTCCCCCACCTTGCAAAACAGAAACCAAATATTACAGGAAAGTGTACATTGCACACAAGTTGGAAAACATTTCATTACTCTTCTCAAAATCTATCAAGTGTTTGAATTGTTTGGCATGCATTTATGTGTATGTATGTGTGAATTTCTGTATATTTGCAAAAGACATTGAATGTTTTTACTACATGAAGTGTTGATCGGCATATTAGCAACTATAGCTCAAAAATCTCTGTCTTTTTATTCTAGCTCCTGAAAAAATTATTCATGAGAAGCTAGAGGAAGAGATTGAAATGGAAGTGAAAGGTACAGTTGCCAATGATGTACACTGAATAATTAGTACCAGTCATTAGTAACATTGTTAAAAGCTTTTATCTGCTTACATGTAGTGTCTGATGGGGAAATACAGACACAATTTAAAGCATATTGGAACATTTTGCATGTTTGTTTTGATATGCAAAGGGTTACCTGCATTATAAGGTTATTTAAGTTTTAAAATATGTTTAAAACTTCAATTTTATAATTTTGCAGCTATATTCTTAACTTTTACTTCATGCTTTGCAGCTGTTCAAAGAGCTTTTGTTTGTTCAATTTCCTTTTGAATGCATGGAATAGTTTACTTCAGAAGGAAGTTATACAAATCATAATATTTTGAAACAAGTTAGCAACCTAACATTAATCAGTTCAGTGGACACTATTGGATGAAGTATGCTAGAAAACATTTGTTGTTCAAGATATGTGAAAGCTACACATTCCCATTGATTCCTTGCACTTTTTTGACATACCTTAATTCATCATGATACATCTCTTACACTGGCTTGCAGATAGCATACGTGGTTCATGTTGCTTGCTTTTTTTCCCCTGTGCATAACACTGTGAAGTTAGTGGCTGTATTAGTTCGAATAAACGCCTTCTCATTTCATGTTAGCTAATTACCTAATTTTTAAAAAATATCTTTCAAAATATTTTTTTCTCAATTGTTTAAACATTTAATCTACATACAGAGGGGTCAGAAAGGGCGTTTATTCTACTGTCTGCAAGTCAGGTAAGATTTTCTTCTTTGCAATCCGAAGACACACAGCTTTTCCAGGCAGCAAAAACATACACGCAGAAGAACGTGTTATTTTGAAATTCTTTTTTGCTTGTTCAAGAAGAAATTTCCACAGTCTGAAGAAAGAACAGACAACGAACGATTTTCGTGTCAATCTTTAAAACAGAGCAAGGCATTGCGTTTATTCGAACAAATATGGTGAGTGAATTACTTTTTTTTTCCTGGGTGTGTGATGAAATCTGTTGCATGCCCATTTTTTATTTCAATATATTGCTATTTCATTTTTTTCAATCAGATGGAAGGCAAAGTGTGGCATGTTATAACCCAGTCTCCTTCTCTTGCAGAGAATCACAGCAAGGCGAACCTCGAGGGACCTGGGACGGCGGTGGTGCTGGCTTACACCCAGAACCGTAAACCCACCTTCACGCAGGGCCTCAAGTGTAGGTCCGTCTTGGAGGGGGACCCTGCACTCTTCCAGTGCAAGCTGGTGGCATGTCCAGCACCCCACATGGCCTGGTTTCACAATAACCGGCCTGTCCACCAGGACTGCCGCAAGGTGATCCGCACTGAGAGTGAGGAGCACACGCACCATGCCAGCCTGGAGGTGCGGGATGTGCGGGAACACGATGCTGGCAGCTACAGGGTATTTGCCATTAACAGTGAGGGCTCAGCTGAGTCCACTGCATCACTGCTAGTGGCACGCAGCAGGGAGCAGCAGGGCTTGGGTTTTGCAGGGAAAGCAGAGTGGACACAGGAGAGCTGGGAGTGCCTGCTGCAGCAGCGGCGGGAGGACCGGCTGCGGGTAGTGCTTCGCTGCACTGGCTCACCCTTTGACAAGGGGCAGGAGGCTGAGCAGTTGCTTGGGGATGTCTCCTCGGCCAGGGGCATGGTGCGAACCATCTGTTTCCAGAGGCTGCCACTGGTGGGGCCTCACCGTCCAGGGCTGGCATGCGGTAGGGAGCACAGTGGCAGAGTGGTGGATGCTGAAGAGCTGCTGGATGAGGAAATTCGTTGGAAGCTGCAGCGGCTGCGGGAGGCAAAGAGGGCAGCGCTGAAAAAGAAACAGGAATTCCTTAAGTCCATGCCCCAGGGGGGGCCTCCTGGGAAGCTCAGCCCACCTGAGGCAGCTGCTACAATGGATGGCTCTCAGCCCCTTCCAGTGCAGGTAGTGAAGGGGTACAACAGGCCCAAGGCTATGGGGGAGAGATGGCAGATGCCAGCTGGGGTCCTGGAGCCCTGCCCACCCCTCTTTGTCCAGGAGATCAAGCCCCAAGAGGCTGTTGAGGGTCACAGATGCACCTTTTCCTGCCTCTTTCATGGCCGCCCACAGCCCACAGTCACTTGGTACAACAACGCCAAACCCGTGGGGCGCATCCGAGGCACCGCTGTTCACACCACAGAGTGCCGCTCTACACTGACCTTCCCATCCCTGCTCCCACAGCATGGTGGCACTGTCACCTGTGTGATCTTCAATCCACTGGGCACAGTCAGCACCTCAGCTGCACTCCATGTGCGGCAGCAGATGCCAGCCTATGAGGCCACAAAGAAGGAGGAAGAAGAGGAAGGGAAGAAAGAGGAGAAAAAGGAAGAGAAGGTGAAGGAGGAAGAAGAAGTTGGCCTGGCCTTCACAGCAGAGCAGGTACTACCAAATGCAGTTTCAGACTCAGACTTGCTGTCACTGCCTGTGGAAATAAAAATCACTGCCCCCACTCCAACACCAGAACAAGACACAGAGATGAGGGAGACCGCACGGCACTCTCTAGACCAGGCTGCTCCCACTGTAAAGCATAAATTCAAGTTTTCATTTGATGTGGGAAATGAGCCACCCCAAATTGTGGCAGAAGCCCCAGCACACATTCATTGCCATGAAGGGGAGGCAGTGGTGTTGGAGTGTGCTGTGTCTGGACAGCCCCCACCAGCTGTGACCTGGTCCCTGAATGGCCAGAAACTCTCTGCCAGTGAGAGACTGAGGTTTGAGGAAGGCAAGAATGGCATGTACCGCTTACACATCCTAGGGATCTCTGTTGTGGACGCTGGTCTGTATTGTTGCATGGCCAAGAATGTGGCTGGAACAGCACAGACTGTCTCTCAGCTGACAGTGCAGCCCAGTGCATCCAGGTTGTATAGCAAGGATGGAGGCATTGAGGAACTGCCTGCCATGGACCATGTTCTGCACCTCCAAGGCCTGAACACTCTTGGAAAGGATGAAGAGATCACATGCTCGAAGGAGGAGGAAGCCCACCTACCCTGGTCCCTGAGGCTGTCTCCATCTCCTGGTGAAAAATTGGAAGAGGAGTGTGAGAAAACTCCCCATTTCAGGGAGAGTGAGATGGAGGAAAGGATGGTGCTGGATATTACAGAGGTTTATGCAAGGCAAGAAATGGGTTATCCAGGAGAAAGTGTGAGGGATACAGATGGTATTTCTGAGATGAGGCAGCACAGGGAAAAAGCTGTCTCCGAGGATCACGGCTTTGGAATTGATGCCACTGAGCTGCACCCCAGCATATTCAGGGAAGAGCATGAACTGGTGGCCAAGGACTCAGGTGATTTTTCAGAGGAGCTGGAGGTTGAAGGAGACAAGGTGGTACCACATACAGAAGCTCTGTCCTGGAATATCTTGAAGTCACCACTTACGGAAGTGAAAGGACAAACATATGCCTCTGACCAGTCTGCTCTGGCAAGGGAATGTGAGGATTCACAATTTTTCATTCCTATATCACCTGTGGTGCAAGAGGGGAGAGATGTTTACAGGGAGGAGAGTGGTGCCCCTGCTGGGGAGGCAATGTCTCCTAATGTGCCTCTTGTAGAAGAACCAAGTGTGCCCTGTTTGCAGGACAACATTGCGATCACACCCACAAAGGACCAGTTTGGCTTTTATGACTTCTGTACAGAAAAGCACCAGGAGGAACAGGCCAAGGAACAAGAGAGATCAGTTGATATTGAACAGGACATCAAGGCTGATCATCATTTTTGTAAAGAAGAAATGATAGATGCTGGGGATGCCACACACTGGGAAATTAACAGTGATGGACAAATGCTGCAAGAAATGGAGGCTGATGCAGGTAATTCTTCTTTGGATGTAATTCTCACTCCACCTGGCATAGAAAACTCAGGTCAGGATTTTACTGAAGAAGTTGAGGTTCACTTAGAAGAAGTGCATTTGAAAGAGCAGCTGTTGCCATCTGAGACTGATGAGACCAATATCACATTTGATCTGAAGAAGTTTGTGGAGCCCTTCCCAACTGCAGAGACTGTGGACACAGAACAGGCACAAACCCCCACATCTCTGGAGAGTGTGGAAGTAGGAGTGGCTGGGCTCGTCTCCACTCTGCACCAACATGATGTGCCAGTGGAAGAGTTGTCTCTGAGTGAAGAGCTGCGGCAGAGCTACAAGATGCAGCAGGAAGAGGTTGGTGCCCAGGAAGGGGCACAGTCAAGCGAAATCAGAAGGGCTGATTTGAAAATCACTAACGGGGATCTTGGTAGCATCATGGTGTCTGCTGAAGACAGATCTTCTGCTGAAGAAGTTAATGAGCCAGAAGTGAGTGTCTGTGGGGAGGATTCACTTGAGGGACAAAGTCATGGCTTTCTGGTGGAGTCCACAGCAGATTTCAAAAGAGAAGTCCAGGAAACACATATGTGGGAGAGTGGGGAACAACTGGAGACCATAGACTCCCAGAGTGACAGTTTCATCACTGATTTGAAAAAAGCTGCACAAGAAAAGAAACCCCAGGCTGCGCATCAGACTGAGGAGCAAGAAGGTTCTGGGATAGAAAAAGTTTTTGAGACAGGAATAAGCAGCTCCACTTGTGAGATAGAAAGCACAGAGTCCCCCGAGGAGATGTTCATGGACATCCAACAGGAACCAAACACAACCAAAGGCTTCTCTTTTGGGCAACTCTTACTTGGTTTAATAATGGATGCTCCTGTGGCACAGAAGGAGCAAAAGAAGGAGTCTTGGGACAAGAAGAGAACTCCCACTGAGGAAGCCTCTGAGAATAGTGTGGATGGAGAAGGACTGTCTGAGGATATTTCTGCAGGTCCAGAGCCTGGTGCTGTTCAAGCCTCAGAGCTGGAGCCTGACTTGTCCCTGGCCAAGTATTTAAGGTCAACTGGGATGCAAGAAATTCCAGATCTCAAAGGGACAGTTCAGAAGGAGCAGAGAGAGACCATCACTTCACTGGAAGTGGAAGAGGTTACCTTCAGCATGGTTTACGACTATTACAACAACCAGCAGGAAATCACCCGACCCTTCTCTCCTGAGTCAGAAATGTCTATAGAGCTGGAGAGTGGGAATGGAGAGGAGTCACCTGATTCAGACCGCTTCTACACACCTCCCTCCTCAGTGGAGATCTTTGAAACTGCTTCATCAGCGTCCTACCACACACCGCTCAGCACGCCTGAGCGCTACTCCACACCATCTGAGGGCTCAGAGTACAGCACACCACCCGAGCGCTACTCCACACCATCTGAGGGCTCAGGGTACAGCACACCACCTGAGCGCTACTCCACACCATCTGAGGGCTCAGAATACAGCACACCACCCGAGCGCTACTCCACACCATCTGAGGGCTCAGGGTACAGCACACCACCTGAGCACTACTCCACACCCTCCGAGGGTTCAAAATGCAACACACCCTCAGAACGCTACTTCACACCCTTTGAGGGACCCTGCTCTGCATCAGGGGACAGCACACCACCAGAGCGCTACCGGACACCCACTGGGGAGTATATGGATGCCCTGACCATGCTCCCCCTCTGTGAGAGAAGGCAGCAGCCCCCAGACCAGCCACAGGCTGAAGTTTATAGGACCCCCTGTGAAGCCCTGGAACCATCAGGCAGGCAGATGCCACCTGAATTCCTCAAGGCATTAAGCAGAAGGAGGCTGTACGAGGGCAGCACGCTGAGCTTTGTGGCTGAGGTGGTGGGTATGCCCAAGCCAGGGGTGAAATGGTATCATAATAAATCTCTGTTGGAGCTGGATGAGAGAGTGCGAATAGAGAAAGATGGGGACAAATATGTGCTGGAGATCACTAATATCCAGAAAGCTGATGGAGGACAGTATCTGTGCCATGCAGTGAACATTGTTGGAGAAGCTAAAAGTATCACACAGGTGGAAGTTTTGTCTGAAGATGGGCAGTCACTAGCATTGCCACCTCCTGTCACCCACCAGCATGTTATACAGTTCGACCTGGAGGAAAACACATCTTCAAGGTCACCTTCACCACAGGAAATCCTCCTGGAAGTGGAGCTGGATGAGAATGAGGTGAAGGAGTTTGAGAAGCAGGTCAAAATCATAACCAGTCCTGAGTTTAGCCCAGATAAGAAAAGCATGGTGGTTTCCCTGGATGTCCTTCCACTTGCCTTGTTGGAGCAAGCTGCAGGCTTGGCCGCAGAGGAGAATGAGGATGTAAAAATTGATTTCCAAGTCACTGAAATGCCTCCGCGCTTTGCTGTGCCCTTTGCAGATGTTGAGGTGACAGAAGGCTTGGAGGCAGTGTTTGAGTGTGTGGTAACAGGTACTCCTGTCCCAGTAGTGCAGTGGTTCAGAGGCGACACCTGTGTGACGCCTGCCACAGGGAAGTATGTTGTGAGTCAGAAGGAGGGACTTCACAGTCTGAAGGTCCAAAATGTAGGTACTTCTGATGGTGGCTGGTATCACTGTCGGGCAATCAATAGGTTGGGAGAAGCAATGTGCAAAGGCGCCCTTTCAGTCTTAGCTCAGCAGGGAGCAAGTGCTAAGGCGAGCAGTGAGACAGTTAGGGGCAGTGAACCACACAGGCCTCAGAACTGTGACTTGCTTTTGAGTAAGACTGTGAGCCTGGGTGACCAGTCAGAAATGGAGCTGGAGACTGAGTTCAAGCCATACATAGACAACTCAGAGGAAGCAATCCAACTGCTTGCAGTGACTCAACAAGAGCAGGAGGTGGAAGGGGAGAAGTGTGTCAATGTTAGTTTTGATGTGTTTGCGAAGCCATCCGACGAAGAACAGATTGCGTTTAGGGCAGAGGACGCTGAGAGCTGCAGCTTTGAGTTTCAAGTCACAGAAGCCACTCCAAAATTTCTGAGGCTCATTTCTGACTACAGTACATTTGTGGGTGCCTCAGCATGCTTCCAGTGTCTTGTGACTGGTTCCCCCCACCCAAGTGTCCGCTGGTACAAGGATGGGATGTTGTTGGAAGGGGACAGATACTGTGTGCAGGAAGAGCAGGGGGGCTTTTATAGCCTTACTATTGAGAACTTGATGCAAAGTGACAGTGGGCAGTACAAATGTATAGCTACTAACAGGGCAGGAACTGCTGAGACTTGTGCTGTGTTAACATTATACTAAATTTCCATGATTTATTTCAGAGTCTCTTTGGAAACACTAAATGTTTTTATGCTGCTGTTCACTGCAAGTAAAAATGCAGCACTTATTTTAGGGGCATTGTTTTTCATCTCTTTAGGGATGAAAAACCACTCTATGTGGGAATATTTCTGTCTCACTTAAACTTGCCTTTGTTAAGGAACTTAAGTGAGATTTAATCTGTGCATAGGTTTTGTGCACACTTTCTGCACCGAGGTATATTTCAGGTTCCTTCCTCATTCTTGTAAAGATATTTTAATTGACAGTCATTTATGCAAGACTAATTTTTTCATATAGTGTACATATTTCTGTATGTCTGTAACAGGGCAATCATTATTATGTAGGCTAGAAATCACTTAAAAATGCAGATACCACCTTTTTCATGTAACCTAAAAGCATGGAATACTAACTTACACTTGCTGTTTAGTTTGGACATAGTTCTGTGAAAGGACTCCTTAAACTGATATTCTCTCTTCTCACAATGTTGTGTCAGGACATGTGAGTGTCACTGATTCAAATCCTGTGTTTACAGTTTCTATCGCTGCAAAACTCGTACATCTGTGGGCCTAGTTCTACTGACTCATGGAATTAAATGACTTTTTTTAAGTCAATGGAGTTATGCTGTTGTAAAGAAAAGCAACACAATGGAAAGAAAATGAAAGTTTTGTGTTAATAGAGACTGGGCAGGATTTTTTTTCTCTATTACCAAGTAATAAGCATGAAAACATATTTTGTACTGTATCTTTAGAAGTTAAAGGGAAAGGAGAGGGAGCATAATAAATCAATAATGTAACTGTAAATTCATTAAAATAATTTTGGTTGTCCCCATATTCCAGTGTCATGCATAACAAAATACACAGTAGTAAAAAAGTGAGAGATTTTTATGCAGTATTCTTGTTTCACATTAGAACTAAATCTCTACATATTCCTTTTTTCTTTTTTTTTTTTAATTAGTAATAGTTAAGTGTGCTATGTGTCAAGATGACCAGAAAAAAGTAGAATACATTCAATTGTTATCTGTGGCATTTTCTCAGCAAAAGAGCATTTTATTTTAATGTTCTCAATGTGAGTATATATTTTTGTATTTAAAATAATGCTAATATTTAGGAGGAGGAATCAACAGTAGCTGACATAATTCAGTCAGAACTAACTCTGTCTTCCATAAGCAGTGATCAACTGATCAGGAAAATAAGTTAAAAGTATGAAAGTTATTAATTAATGTTTATCAGAAATTAAATAACTCCCTAATGGCACGTGCCAGCTATCCAGTTACCTATATGCCAAGGTGAAACCTTGAGTGCAACAACCTCAAGCAAAAACTATTTTTACTTTGATTCATGAGGTTCATGAGGTTCTTCCAGTTATTTACAATTTGCTGTCAGTTGCCTTACAGACTGCTTTAAGGAGCATGGCGATTTCAAGTGTAAAAGAACTATTCCTACAGTGCATTGTTATGTTCATGCGTATTCTTAGTTCTGAGTTTAATGGGTCCTCACACTGAGGTCCACATGCCTCAAAAAATCAAGAATCTTTTAAGACTAACCCATCACTCACCTGGGATAGTAATTTTTGATCAAAATATTCACTTTGCCCAATTGTGTTGCCCGATACAAACTTAAAGTCAGTAGTGGCAAGTTCTAATGACCCAGTGCATGGGGAAAATTACTGGAGCGGTTAGGCTAATACCAATGTGTCACTTCAGTTTCTTCGCAGTCATAACCCCATGATAAATATTTAAGATTTGTATGTTGTTAAAAGGTAGAGATAATTGAGATTTCTCATAGGTAATGGTGGTAGAAAAGAGAAGCATGAGTGTCTGACCCAATGTTGTGCTGGGAAAGAATGGCTTCATGATATGTCCTTGTGCCATTGGTTGTGTAGATGTGTATTATTAACTGATTCATTGGACAGCAGAAGTCCCTAGAGAAGTTGGCATGAATTGTCTGATGTTATACATCAGCTGTGACATAACGGGACTTGCAGGTCCAAAGCCAAAGAGTCAGAGGCTTTTTGGTTAGGTCCTAAGCAGTTAAGACACGTGTTTAATTTGCACATAAATGAACTTAAATTTTTAGTAGAAACAGGCCCATAGCTTGTTCTTGAAACCATAAGCTAAACAGGTCCAAGTTCATGTTCACATCTGAAATATATGGCCAAGCATCTTTATCTCTACCTGTGTAGTAGTGTTTGTTATTTGTGTAAGTTTAAAAGTCTTGTTTTAAGTTTCATACATTAGCCAAGAGCACTATCATGTGCTTATGGAGAGACAAAGTCTCACCTAAGCTACAATGATACAAATCTGGAGTAATTTTAGTTTTAAATAAGCTTATTCTGGGGCAACTGGTATAGCTTATAGCCATAATTGACCATCTTTTCGAAATCTTGTGCTTTCGTAGTAATTACAAAACTCACAATTTCGTTGTCAGGTTTAATGTCAGCTTCATTTCTACAAACCAAGTATCTTAAAAAAAGGATGAATTATGTTTGTTTGTCATCAATGTGTATTGAATGTTAACATGTATGGTTAATTTGTGAAATAAATATGTAAATTATTTAAGTCTGTCGCTTCTTGTACTTTATTCATTTCACAGACGTAGTGAAAATATGAAAAAGTAACTGTATAGTTTTTTGTTATAAATACCCAGTAACACAAAATTGTATTAATTTTTGCCACACTCCTGTGTATAAAACATGTGCAGTAGCATAGGTTCCATTCTGTAATTTTTATACTTTATTATGGGTCCATTTCTGCCACCCATTCTCAAATTCACTAGCACATTGTATTTCTGGGTAAACTGCCCACCTGTTTTAACAAGGATGGTAGGTAATACAGAAGGACTAGTGTAATTTATTTTTTTTATTACCTAAGCATCTCTTCTATGCAGTTAATCTCTGTATGCACTGTGCTATGTCATGTATATTATGGTACTTGTGGAAAGATTAATAATTGCTAAAACCAATGAGAGAGAATTGGGTGTAGCATATTCTTCATAGTTGTTATTGGAGTGCAGCAAAAATTATTATCTCACAATAAGTTTTGAAATTTAAGACACTGTAAGAAACTTATAAATGTTCAACATTAGAGTGCCTGGAGGCATTTCCCCACTCACAGTTCTTTTATTTTTCAACAACTCTCATATCTTCCCAGCATCAGATACTGTGGCCCTTAACTTGACTCGGTTGAGGACAACAGGATTTGATTTCCAAAAGTTTTCTTTGCGCCGTGCTTTTTGTGGATGGCTTGTTCTGTTCTTGCACGTCTCAGATTTCACTGAAGTTTCTAGTGTCAAGCATCTGCAGAGAATGACGTGTTTTTGATGTTTGCCTCCTCTCATTTTTAAAACACCATTAGAGTAAAGTGATCCAACACATAAATATCTAAATTCACAAAGGCAAGAAAAAGAAAAACCTGAAATTGCTGTCTTGCTTTTCTCTGGTATTGTGGGAGTTTTAATATGGAGCACTGTGACAGGGAGAGGTTTAAAAGCAGAGATTCAAATCAATAACATTAAATCAAGGGTGAAAACTCATGGTTTTAGTAATGATAGTGTTGTGTAAGCATAACGGTCTAAGGATAAAAACAGGACAAAGCTGGTAAGGGAGAGGTAATATCTTAGTGTGTTAGACAAAAGGTAGAGTTGAAAGAGATGAACTAACTGAACCAGAAGAAAGGTTGGTGCTCCAAAAATTCTGTGTTATTTTTCCAATCCTAATTCTGGCTTTCTGCTTTTTCTTGGTGTTTTGAATTAAATCAGGGACTTAGCACTGCTCTGCTGTACTTGTTTCTATGAGTGGACATACAGATCTGTATGGCACATACAACTTTAATTATATTTGTGAAATGCACCAATGTTATTTAACTTGTTACTTGCACTGTACACTCTGGGTGTACACCTAACCCATACTGTGATGTCAGGTTTAAAGAGACACCCATATTGATCCAGATGGGAAGTTTGTAAGTAACCTGGCAGCACAGCATGTCTCGCTGGTTTTGGCAGGTGTGTATTTGACAGCAAGAGAATCTTATGTTAATTTTTAACTGCTGTACAGTATAAAGAAAGCCTCCAGATACACAAAAATAGTTGCACTAACTGTTTTTATTGCTATCGACAAATGTTCTCTTAAACATTCTAGTAAAACGAAACAATTTTTTTCCATACAGACATTGCTAGCTCTCTTATTGTATCTTCTGAGGAAGAAAGAAGGGAAGGCTACAGCAGCAGCCTTCGGTTGCCTGATAGAGAGAAAACACTTGAATCTGAGCCTGAGAAACCAGTTTATTCCAGCAAAGCAAAGATGAAAATGGAGGAGGGGGGCAAAGCCCCTGTTTTCCTCAAACAGATCTCAAATGTTGAAGTCTGGCAGGGAGATGTAGCTAGGCTCTCTGTTACTGTTACTGGCAGTCCCCCACCCAAAATCCAGTGGTTTTTCAACAGTATGAAGCTAGCCCCTTCCATGGATTGTAAGTTAGTGTTTGCTGGCAATGACCACAGCCTTATCCTCCCATATGTGGGTGTGCAGGATGAGGGTGAGTACACATGCATGGCCAGCAACATATACGGTGAGATCACATGCAGCGCCCGCCTCCTCGTCCGGCAGCGAATACCAGGGCTCCCTTGCTTTTCCAGGGAGCCGGACAGTGTGCGGTGTGCACCAGGCTTCACTGCAGTCTTTGAGTACACTGTGGCTGGGGAGCCATGCCCCAGTGTGCAGTGGCTCAAGGGGAACGAGCAGCTCTTCTCCGACGCACGTCATTCTGTTGCTCACCACTTTGATGGCTCAGGCTCTCTGACAGTGTGGGAATGCATGGAAGAGGACAGTGGGCTCTACACATGCAGGGCAGTGAGTGCCCTGGGCGAGGCCACATGCTCTGCCGAGCTCCTTGTGCTGCCTGAGGAGCATGCTGTGTGCAGGCATAGCCCAGCCCTGCAGCACTCTGCGGTGGCAGAGGACCACAGCCTCCTCTTCTACGAGGAGGCTGGCGA